CGCCGGCCCCGTGGAGATGCACCATCCTCCCTGTAGGGTGGACGATGGATGTGCTGCAGATATTTAGAAGACTCGCTGCAGATAAAGTGAGCATTCACTGCAGCTGGACCCCCATGCTCTTCTACAGGCTTGGGCTCCCGGAGCCACCTATGGTACAGAACCAGCCTCTGGCCATTGCTTCCCGCAGCAGGCGCTGAGGATGGGGGACCACCATGGACTGGGAACACATCACCCAGCCTTGGAGCAGAGCCCTGCAGCCAGGAGAGAGCAAGGAAGCAGGCAGGCTCGCTTCTGTCCCCCAGCCCCTGCTCCCCACCTCTGGCCCCGAGGAGGGAGCTGACTGCAGCATCTCGGTGTCACCAGCAGGAAGGACCAGCCTCCAACAGAACCACACCAGGACAGGACAAGATGGAAGTGCCAAAACGTCCTCACACATACACACATGCACAGGGGTGGGAGAGCAGGCGAGACGCACACTTACTGGAACTGCTCTCGCTGTCACTGGTGTTTGATGTCACTCCCTCTGCAAAGCAACCAGAGAGACCCCCTTCAGAAGGAGCATGGGTGGAAGGCACGGGGGCACCTCGGCTGTCACCCAGCACTGCTGACCCAGGGCAGGGCAGCACAGGCCTCCTGAAAAACCCACGCCCCAGCACCCGCTGGGACGAGCCTGCGCCGCCCGGGCTGGGGGGGCATCTCTCACCCTTTGCTGGGAAACCAGGGACATGCAGGGTGATGCTTGGCTACTTGGGGAGAAGGCAGGGATGCCAGGAGGGGGCTGCCTGGCAGGCATGGGCAGACATGTGCAGGCACTGGGCTTCCCAGGTCAAGGGAGGGAAGGTGGGAGTGCATGGGGAGGAGGAGGATGATGGGGGGAGCAGGTGCATGACGCACACAGGGGGCAGGGGAGTGCGTGGCTCCACACTGGCACAAGGGAGCCTACTTCTGGGGACGGGGCTGGGACTCACAGGGACAAGACAGCGACAGGGAGAGAGTTCGGGGCTTTGCTTGCTCAGGCTGATCCCAATGCTGCGACCGCCTCATAGAGGCTTGATGGCTGCTGCCTGCCCCCAGTCGGGCTCTGCACTGGTCAGGGGGGGTGTGAAGCTTGGCAGGGGACTCACTCCCAGCTGGGAGGGCTGAGGGGCTCCTGCTACTGCTGTCTGGCAGCTCTGGGTACATGACGCCTCAGAGGAAGGTGGCAACACTTCAAAACGCTGTCAACTCGCCCCACTCGGAGCGGACCCATCATGGTTATGGCAACATCCCACCCACATTGGCAGTGGATCCGAGTGTCCCAGTGCTAAACCAGCAGCCAGCCCAGTTAGGAGCAGGAGGAAGAGGAGGATGAGGAGGTACAGCTCACCCCAGGTGCAGCGGGCAGCCCTCAACTGGGCACGCTTAGGGCATGGCCAACATCCCCAAGCAAACTCCCCTGTCCCACCCACGTGCAGCAGCAGCATCTCCTCAAGCCCAGCAGCCTCCGCCGGCAGACGCGGCAATCCCCGGCAGAGGAGCAGCACCCGTGGGATCGCTCCTTCCCCACACGCACGCAGAGAAGCGCAGCTGCCCCAGTCGGAGCCCAGCCGTTTCCCAGGCACCACCAGGCATGCCAGCGACGGAAAGTGAACGATGCGCATCAAAATTTGACTTACTCAGGTTCTTTGCTCCATAATAATCGTCACTTAACCCAGGGAAGTCCTGATTTCACAGACAGCGAGAAGGGGGAGAGGGGGAGAGAAGAGAGCGCGGGAGAGGAGAGTCAGAGGGATGGGGGAGACAGAGCCAGACCAGCATTAGTGACAGGAGTGCAGAACGGCCTAGAGCTGCAACTGCAAGTGAGGAAGTGAGGTTAAACGTTTTCAGAGCTGACGCCATCAGCCCGCTGCCAATGTCTCACCTTGTGCAGCTGGAACCCCCCTGAGCTCACCCTCTCTGCCAAAGAGCCCCCACAGGGCCACCCTGGGTCTGGGGAGGGCAGGCAGCCATGGCAGCACCTGCTGGCACCGAGCGCTTGCAGCCCCAAGCTGCTGGCAAGTAAGGCCGAGACGTTTTTCGGTGATGTCTCGCAGGGGGTACTGGCAGGGTGCAGTGGCTCTGTGACCCCCCCGAACAGCCTGGCTCTTCTTGGAGTGGACACAGCACAGCCGGTCCTCTAACGTGCGGCAGCAGGGCACATTTTTCCCCAGCTGCGTGTGTTAGCTGCCCACACTCCAGTGCTTGCATGGGCTGTGGAAACACGGGGGAAGGACCCCCCCCACCGCACGCAGGGATGGACAGCGGCAGAGCACGGGGAGGGAGCTGGCTGTGGCTGTGACATACAGTGGCTGTCAAAGAGCGTGGCCTGCCCCATCCCTGTGCGGTACATCCCTGCACTGCAGGGCTGGCTGAAAGCAGCACCCCAGCAAGCCCCCAGCTCCAGCTCAGAGCTGACTGGAGCCCAGCCATGTCCGAGCACTACAGGAGATACTCAGACTTAACACAGACTTAACCTTCACTGAAGGCCAGAGCCTCATCCTGGTTGCTAAGCTCACTGGAAGCTGGTGTCAGCCTGGCATGGGCAGCAGAGGGATGTGGGCAGCCCCTGGAGCAGCCCAGCATCAACCTCCTGCCTCTGCATCAACCCCAGGAGAGCCACCAGAGGTGAGGGGATGCGCTCGCTGCACTGGCAACGGGGCAGAGACACTGCTCTGCCTTGCCCACCTCCTCTTTCCCAAGGGGTGAGGACCATGGCCCTCGGTCTGGACGCTTGCCAAAGGAGCGGACGCAGTTTAGCATCTCGAAGGAGGAGGGGCTGGCTTCGGTGAGCAGGTCCAGTGCTGCCCATTTCAGGATTCAGGGCAAAAAGCTGAATGCCCTGCCCTCACTTGGAGCCCAAGGGTGCTGCTAGGTGAGAGCTGGGGACCCCACAACATCTGCAGTCAGTTACCAAAGATGTGCCTCAGTTGTGGGTGGGCAGCTTCTCCACCAGTGTGGGCACAGCCCCCCCATGCCCACAGGGTTTACCCCACAGGAAGGGCTCTCAGATGGTAATACATAGCTATGAGTCACTTCTAGGGGACATGGGCAGCACAGCTGGGACCTCCCCAGCCCCTCAGCCCTGACGGGGACAGGAGAAGCTCTGCAGGAGGTGGCCAGCCCCTTGCTTGGAGGGGAGCAGCCCTTGGCAGGCAGAGGGAGGGAGCAGAGCCCGCAGCAGAGAGGGGAGAGCAGGGGGAGGCAGAGCAGGGGGTCAGGTGGGTGTAAAGTTGGATGAAAGGATGAAGACATTGAACATGAGAGAAAGAGAGCACCAGCCTGCAGCTGTGCTTTCGTTTCAAGCTCCGTTTCTCCCTAGCTGCTGGCACAATTGTGGAGCACAGACCCGAACACGGGCAGATGCCAGGACCCCTGGTTACGGAAACGTGCCGGATCTCTCCCCCCAAGGCAGGGGACCTGAGGGTCGCACGCTTGCCCTCTCTGGCCAGCTGCTACTTACGTTCCTGTCCGCCGCTCTCCTGGGCCAGGTTCTCTTTGCTCTTGTAAAATGGAAACTTTCGAGAGAGGCGGAAACTCTTTTTACGTTTCGTTTTGATCGACTGAAGAACATGGAGATGGAAGGGAGGACAGAAAAAACAATGGTGTTTAACGCATGTGGGAAAAATTAAAATGAAGAGACAATGAGCAGCTGTGCCAGGGCAGTTTTACCCTCAAATGAAATCATGGAGATTACATGAAAACCATAATGCAGGAAAAAAATTAAGCGTGGAGAAAAACATGTGGTAGGGATGCTGGGAAGCTGACAGGGCAATCAGCAGCTCTGCAGGGGTTGCCAGGCTGTTCTCCCTTCCTTGTCCGCTTGCCAAGCGCTCCGCGCAGGGGGTGAGGGCAGCTACCTTCGCCTGCGTGGGCTGCCTGCAGTCAGCTCCCAGCCATGGGCTGCGGTGGGACGGGCTCTGCTCCCACCTCTCCGACCAGGGGCCCTTCCCCACCGCTTTCGCACCATCCTGGGCTCCTCTGCTCACCCCCTGCACAGTCAGAGAGGATTCGTGCCGAGCAGATACGGGACCAGGGTAGGTCCAGTCGCACTGCTCTTTGCTTTGGGATTGCTCCAGCCTTCCCCAAGAGCTCTGGCTGCTGGGACTCATCCTGCCCCCACTAGCTACCAGCTCTGGGCACCCCACTGAGCCCCAGCTCAGCACTTACCCTGTTGGACTCAATCATGCCAGTCCTGGCGTGGAACTTCACTGTTTTCAACCGCGCTCTCTCCTTCTTTTCCACCCTGATGGGAAGTTAAAGGGGACAAAGAGTTGCTAGTCCCGCACATGCGCCCTCCATGCCGTCTGTTCAGCTCCCCAGGTGGCTCCATGCACCCTCGGGTGGTGGCCCTGTTGGCAAAGGGCAGCTCCTTCCCAGAGAGGGATGGATGTGGAGCTGCCAGCCTGGAGTCTGGCCAAGGCCAGCGTCTGTTGGAGCCATAGAGGGGCCAAGCCAGCCTTCCCAGGAGGGGAGGGATGGAGGACAGAGGTGGGGCTGGCTCTGCAGACCTGAAGGCAGTGGCAGCCAGCTCCTCTGCTCCCTCTGACCTCTCATCTCATGGGACCTGGCTCACAGAGCTGGGTAGGTTGTCAGAGGACAAAAGGAGTAGCCCACAGTCACTGCTGTGACTCTGCCCTCACTTGGAGCCCCAGACTGGGTAACACCAGCTCTCCATTCCCACAGGGGCAACAGAGAGGGCTGAGTGCTCCCCTCCTCACCTAGAGTCTCACACAGCTTTGGAGAACATCTCCCCAGGGAGACCTGCATGCAACCCCAGCTTGCCACCAGGTTGCCCTTCATGCTGCACAGCCACAGAGGGGCAGGTGGGATGGGACCACAAGGAGATCCCACCCTGAGCAGACACCTGAGGGCTGCAGGGCTTGCAGAGCCTGGGGAGCTCCAGGAGGCACCAGAGGTGACAGTTCCCGAGATGGACACTCACCTTTTCTTGCTGGGGATGACCCCAATCTGCTCGCTCTCGCCGTGGGGCGTGACAAGCCTGGCTTGCCACCACTCATCGTCGGAGGCATTGATGACATGCAGAATGTCCCCGTAGGAGAAGCTGAGCCCCTGGCTGGGCAAGCAACTGTCCCGGGTCCGGTCGTAGTCAAAGAGGGCTCTGCGGAGGAGCAGAGAAAGGAGCGATGCCTTCCCCGAGCACGGCCAGGCAATGAGGGCAGCAGCGCTGCCGACCTCCTAGGGCACTGCTACCTTCATACCTTAAAGGATTTAAACCCAAACTTTGGGGAAACCTCCTGCCGAGGCAAGCAGTGCTGTGCAGCCACCAGCACACCCTTCCCGCTGGTGGGCTCAGCACAAACCCCGAAGCGTGCAATGCAGGAGTAACAGTGCTGGACCAAAACTACTCGCTCTTGACCTTAGCTGCGAGAGGCAGGCGAACCACAGATGCACTGAAGGCGGCCGTGGTTAGCGAGCAGGCGAAGCTCACGTGGCCTCAAGAAAGAAGCAGCGTGCAGGAGGGCAGCGGAGAGCCGGTGTGCGGGGTTGCTCCCCATCATCCCTCCCCAGTGGCTGCAGGGCCAAGGAGTGGGATGGGGACCATCAGACCCCACTGCTGGTGGGGGGTCACACAGGCAGAGACTGCAGGGCGCTTTGAGCACGCACTTTATTTATGTACAGGGGTACGTTAGTCCAGAGCCTGTGAATTAGGAACACATCTGAGGGTGTGTGTATATATATATATATCTATCTATAT